AACATGGCTTATGCCTGGTGAGCCTAGGCCACCCCACTGAGGTTGAATCTACCCCAGGTAAAGGACTGGACCCAGTTACCACCCAGGGTTCTGATTAAAGCAGTCCTTTTTTATGCTTTCAGTTACCCACAGTTAACCATGGCCTGAAAGAAATACCTATTATTTGGTTTTTCAGTGGTGTTTTGTTCTGTTTTGGTTTTGGCCAGCTCAGCCCACCCTAAGGGCAGGGTTGGTGCAGCATGTGGTGCTGGGGATCGAACCGCGGTCCCCTGCGCCTGCCTAAGCATGCCTATGCAGGCGCCTGAGACCGCTGAGCTGTCTCACCGGCCCCTGGTTTATCGTTTTTTGTGACAAGGTTTCTCAGCCTATTGTAGGCTGCTTTTGAACTCACTACACAGCCCAGGATAACCTTGAACTTGCAGAGCTCCTGCTGCGCCAGCCTTCCGAGGGCTGGGATTGCAGGAAAACCTGGCAGCATGGCCTGAAAATACTAAATGAAAATTCACAAAAATAAACTCATACATTTTAGAAAACTATTCAAACATAACTGTCATGGCCACTCTGTTTTATTATGAGTCATTATCCTTAATCTCATCATGTCTCGGTTATAGATTAAACCTATCACAGCGGTGCGTGTAGGAAGGAGAAAACAGCCTTTACAGCGTTCAGCACCACCTGCAGGTGCCAGCACATCCGAGGCCTTTGGGATAGATGTCCAGCAAATAGAAGGGGGCCCGCAGTCTGTTCATTCATTCACCCATTTGTTCATGCAAATAATTATCGGTGGCCGTGTTCACTTATAGAGGTATGAGCACTTCTGGGCTCTGAGAATTCAGATAAAAGAGGCTGACATGATCTCGGCTTTGCCCTGTTATGTTCACATACACGTTGGCTCTTAAATGTCCCCCCAGGCCCATGTATGGCAGCTGGCAAGGCCGCACGCACACCTTTTCCAGAGCCTGCTCTTAAGGGGTGGGGCTTAGCAGCGGAAGTGATGTCATGGGGCGGGGCCTGGGCCGCCGTCATTTCCCTCTCTGCTTCCGGCCACCAAGAGGGGAGAAGCTTTGCGCTAGCGCTGCTCCTCACGCGGTGTGCACTGCACGCCTCGATCCAAACCCGCGTGGACTGCGACCTGGAAAATCGTGAACCAAAACAATCCTTTTTCTCTTTGTAAGTTGATTGTCCCCAAGTACCTTGTCACAGACAGCATACTGATACACATCGCAATAAAGAAAACAATGAACAAATAGATGCTCTAATATTCTTTTAAATGACCTTTCGGGGGTCAATTTTTGAAAGTAGCATGTCCTTCAGGAACCGAGAAGACAGACAGCTGCCTTGACAATGCAGCTGACTCATGGACGAGCACCCTTTTCTTGATCGGAGCCCCATTTTGCAATTAGTTCGAGAAAATTCTTGTCAGTGGCCCTTCCACTTCAGAGCCTTCCCAGCCACATCACGCCCAGCCCTGCGCACAGGAGTGCGTAAGTCCCTCGATCCTCACGTCTGTGTCAGCAGGTCGCAGTTTGAGTATTGTTTAAAGTGGCTAGCGATGCCTGGAAAATTGTTTTTCACCTAGGAATTATCCAGAGATAATTACTCTGATTTATCACCCCGTTGCCTCCTCCATCCACACGGGATATTTTACAGCAGAGCATCTCTAGACTGGAGGATGCTGTTGATTTGTCTCCAAATCAAATTTCATCTGCTCACATTATAGGTCCATAAATAGTCTGTCGCCACCCGAACACCCAGCAAGAAGTGTGAGCCACGAGGCAGGTTGATTTATTGTTCTGATTGCTTTATATGTTCTCCCCGGTCCCCAGAAAGAACGTGTGTAATGATTTGCACTCAGAGATCCTCGATCTGCTGCAATACCGCTCGGAAACACTTACCTCTGCGCCACTGTGCTAATTAGCAGACAGGTTATTATCTCGAAGCAATCACTCTTCCTAGCACTATTAACTTTCTTATGATTCGATCCCCACTTTATTACACAGCATAACAGGCAATAAACATCCTGGGGTTTATGCCAGTCGTAGACAATACGGATATTTATTTTGGTAATGAAAGGAACGGAGGTTTGAAAAGTCTTTGGAGTGGCTCGGCAGTGTGAAATCCCAAAGCTCTGATAATACGTAGATTGAAAAATTTTATATCTGTCAGGCAGCAGTGAAATCTTTAGGAGACATCGTTTCTCTAAGTCCATCTTCTTGCTGAGCTTGTGATACCAGGCAAACAAAAGCATTAAGCTAAGGACTAACCACATTTAAAAATGTCTGTTTCTCCCAAGTTCCTTTTAAGGGAAAGTTGCATTTCCCTAACAGAGAGCAGTAAGAATCCTTTCCATTCAGAGCTTGCAAAAGTGAAATATACGACGCATAGACTTGGGGCAGGCCTCCGTCACCTGCAACTCTTTTCCTGTGTCTCAGCTCCCCAGGGAAAAATCAAGCTTGATCTCCTCGAGTGTCATAGAATCATAGCCATGATGATGTGTGAAATGAGTCCCATCAGCTGTCAAACCAGTTAATTCTACCGTCAAGGAATAATCTCGAACTTCAGGGACAGAAACCAGGAACGAGGGCTAAGAGTGCCATCTGGTGGCGAGGCATGAGACTCCACCGTAGCTAAGCAGGCTCCCCGCCCCCACCCTGTTCCGTCCTTGCCTGGGCGCCAAGAAGATGATGAAATTAACCAGGATACCTGAGCCTCCTCTCAAGAGCAATCCCGCTGCGGTTTAAGTGAGTCTAGACACGATTTACAAGTGCACATAAAAATATCAGTCTTCACAAGATAGACAAGAGAGGTCAAAGCTAAAGCACACAGCGGAATAATCGCACCTAATAGCTGTGTCGCGCACTTCCAGGTATGCAAACTTATTCAAGTGCTTTTCAACAAGATCAGAACTCTAATGCGTTCACAGAATGTAAAAGAGAAGCGGAGCTTAGCGTCCTCCTTTCACTCACATTGGAGGTAGAATTGCAAGGCAGTGGTCTGGCTCTAGGGCCCGTGCGCAGCGTTAGAACCACCAGCGCTTCGTGCTGGATGCTAAAGCCATCCTTTAGGTGGAAGGATCTGGATCCAGGCATCCCAAATCTGGATTTGAATCAGAGCTTCCCCTCTGACCCGCGGGTACCCTAAGCAATGACCCCACCCCTCAGAGTCTTGCTGTCTTCATTTGCAAAACCAAGAACAGTAACGGGGAGGGACATCATCCTGGGAAGCTGTGAGGCTCTGCTGAAGGAGATAAGTCTGTATCTTCTTGAAAATTTAGAATGTTCTATGAGATACAAGCTGTTGTTATCATCATTTGTTATCATCATTTGTTACAAGCTACTCCCCTGCCTGGAACTTTACTCTGTGCCCAGTCCATACTGGATGGCGGGAAACAGAGGCTGGACTATTGGTGGCTGAGTGTCCCCAATCAGAGGAGCCCGTGCTGAGGAGGCAGGTTTCCGAATGGCAGCTGGGCTCGAATCCCTCAGTGGGCGCTAAGGACAGATCCTGTGTTGGCTACATAGGAAAAAGCAGCCACTGAGGGAACAGGCCCTCCCCTGTCCCTTCTACTCATTAAAACAAAACTTGTGGCTTCTCTAGTGTCACAGGCAAAGAGCAGTCAGCCTCTCTGGCCAGCTTTGGGAAAGAACTAGATGTCTCAGCTGGGCCAGCATCCTCTCACGGTGTGCCACCTTCTCCCGCAGATCAGCGCCCTTCAGAAGGGCTACAGCCAGGTGCTGTGCCACACCCTGTCTGAGCGGAACTCAGAGATCGCATCCCTGAAGAGCGAGGGGGAGAACTTGAAGAGGGACAACGCCATAACCGCAGGTGAGCGATGTAGGAGCTGGGCCCTACTGCTGCATGGCTCAGGCAGACATCACTAATCCATCACCGTGCTTTTGCTCTCCAAGCTTGGACACAGCCTTGAGTTCTCAGTGGCTCTATAGGCAGTGCCATCAATGAAGAAGAGTTTATCCCCAGGGGATGTTTAGCTGCCATTTCCAAGTGTGGCATGGACTCAGAATCAACCCAAGATCACTGTGAGAGCAGAGGTGCCCTCTTAGCCAGAGGCTAGTTGAGCTCTGACCATGGAAGGAAGAGCACAGGACACCATGGGGCTTGGTGGTCCCTGAGCCACGCCGCCACAGGTGCAAACTAGAATAGCTGGAGTGATGGGTCACTGGCTGTACCCACACCTTACCCACTCTTCTTGGGTCCTGTGAAGGTGTTTTGCTGGCTGATCAGCAGTGGGGTTTCATGCTAGAGAGCCTGGGTACGAGGCAGCCAGCTCCTCACCCACCCTTGCCAGGCACAGCAAAACTCAGCCTGGATCGAGCCAGTCAGTCATCACACTTACCAGACGCCCACCAGGTACTGGGCACTGGTACCCTGGAGCCACAGCAAGATTGCTGTGCTCAGCCAGGTTTTGTCACATGCCCCTGTGATTCCCAGATCTCCAAGAGGCCAAGGCAAAAGGATCACAGATTTGAGCCCAGCCTGAGCAAATTAACAAGACCCTGTTTAAAAACTTTAAAAGGTGGCTGGGGAGACAGCTCAGTGGTCTAAGTGCCCGCCTGGCAAGTGCAAGGGCCCAGTTTCGATCCCCAGTACCACATGCCATGCTGGCCCCTAAACTGGGCATAAGTGGAGCACACCTATAATCCCAGAGGTGGGGAAGCTGAGACTGGAGGATCACTACGAGTCCCAACTGGGTAGTGAGACCCTGTACCAAATACATAAATAATTTTTCATTTCAGAAAGGAATTCCGCTCTGAGTTCCTCTATAACTTTCTGTTGTTGCTTATTTACTATTGACACTATTAATTCATACATTTGCGCTGAGCTAGTGTCCTCTGCACTTGTTCTGGGTGGGCATAGGGTGGGTTTCGTCCATATGTTTCTACATTTGATTCTTCACTGCAGATGCTATTAATTCAGGGAATTCTTTTTCATTTCCAATCTGAGTTCCTCTATACCTTTCTGCAGTTGTTTCTTTATTTCAGAAGCCATTGATTCATTGATTTCAGCTGTGTGATTCCCAATTTGTTCTGTGTTAGTGTCCTCTGCACTCATTATGGGTGGGGTTGGGGTCTGAGATTGCATTTTGCTCCTTCTTGTTGTCATTTTGTGTAGCACTGTCTTCTGACCTTTGTTGTAGAGCTTTGATGCAGTTATAGCTTTAGCAGCTACTGAAGTTCAGATGTAGATCTACAAAGGTTGAATTTATCCAGCTGTGTCTGGCATGGGTCTGGCTGCTGTGCTCAGCTCCTTCCTGCTGCCACCCTTGGGAGTGAACCTGTTGTACCCCTCTGGCAAGATGTTCTGCTCCTGGACTAAATGGGTGGTTCTGTCCCCTACTCTGTCTGCATGGATTGCAGCTGCAGGGTTTCACCTCAGGCCCATATGCCAGGCCTGAGCTGAGTCTGGAGGGGACAAGGTGTAGTAGCGGGGA